TTAGGCTATTTACCAGATAGCAATGCATCAACTTCACAAAGAATCCATGTCCACAAGAGTTTGCAAGGAAAGACTGCTGTTGTGTTTAGCCATCAGTTTATGCTGCCATTCCGCCAGGATCCACTGTTGCTCTCAAGAATCAAGTCTGTCCCTGGATCAGATCAGTTGGCGTCACTTCCTCTGAATGAAACTAGTGTACTAGTCATTGGTGCCAATACTAGTTATTAGTGCCAAGAACTGCAGTGAGGTGCCATTGCTGTTGCAGTCAATGTCTATTGAAGTGGATGATGGCATTGAAAGGCCATGTACCCTCGAACATTGTGGCATGGATATTTTACATCCTGCCCATCTTGTTCCAGGAGAAGAGTTCAAAAAGGTTTTCACTGTCATTCCTGAAGTGGAATCTTCAAGTCTTGATTTGGGGTCAGTGCCTTTGAGATGGAGGAGAAATTCTGAAATGAAAGATCTATCTACTTCTTCTGCCACACCAGCGTGGGTTTTGACCAAACATAAACTTCCAGATGTAAAAGTAGATCTGCCACCGTTGGTATCGAATCTGGAGTTTCCTCCTTGTGCTGTTCTTGGAGATCCCTTAATGTACTCGATTAAAATTCAGAATCAAACACGGTTGCTTCAAGAGCTCAAGTTCTCACTAGGAGATGCACAGGGTTTTGTGTTATCTGGGTCTCACAGCGACACAGTTTATGTTCGTCCAACATCTGAGCACGCACTTGGCTACAAGCTCGTGCCATTGGCTTCAGGTCCACAACAATTGCCTCAAGTTACAGCGATCCCAGCAAGATATTCAGCTGCATTTCAACCTTCCAATGCTGCTGCGTCTACTGTTTTTTTCTTCCCCTCTAAACCTCAATTCAAGGCAACTGATATCAGAGACAATAAATCAGAACCGTTGCTGCCGAGTAAATGCTGTTGTTCCCTTCGGTAGTAAATATTTTGCAGAAACCGGGTTCCGTCATTGAAGGATGCAGTTGCTAATAAGTGTATCATTGCTGTCTATGTGAGGATGGTTAGTTGTTGATTGGACCTCATCTGTCTGGAGGCTTGAAGGCAAATCCAGTAAAATTCTACTACCTGGACGAAATCTCTTCAGAGAGCTTCCTCAAGCTTTTCTAACAATGCGCACTCATCCATCCCGGTATGTCATATTTTTATTGTCAATTTGTTAAGGTTAGTACGGATAATGATTTGCATGTTTAGGAAGATTGGTTTCCTGGTAGGAAATTCTTATACTCTAAAGGACATGTTTAAATGGGTAACCTTAGGTATGTGATAAAATTGTTAGACAAATACAGTCCTGTTTGCTAGGTGTGTCAATTTACAGATTTTGCAGCATAGATATGGAAGTTGAAGAATGCATAAATGAAAGGAAAGACATTGGTGCAACTGGGAGATGATAAGGGGTGATTTTCTTCTTCATTTTAACAGTCATCAATGGTTAACTTAATCCATTTGTTTTTCAGCAATTTTATAAAAGGATTTACTCCAATAGAAGAATATAATGTAACCAGGGTTAAAGTAACAGCAAGCTTGTAATAAAAAGCAAACCGTGTCGCAAGGCCTGTCATAATTTTCTTTCTGCCATCTTAACGAAACACCTAGACACATAATTGAAACCTAGGCAGTAGATACCTCGGGCATATACAAATCAAAACACAGAATTTATGATATAATTAAGCAATATCAGATGAAAGATGATGATTGTAAAATATGTTAATCACTGAAAAAATCAGTAGTTAAAGTAATAGTAGTTAAAGATGGTAGTGCATGTTCATTAAATCATCATCATGGTAATTTGATCACAGAAATTATTACGATAAAACATCATCATGTTTTTTCTTGCATACCTAACCAGTACCTAAACAATAAATCAAGAGCAAAAGACACAGTAGATCGAAGGCTGAAAGGCCAAAAAAAAGAAAAAAAAAGAGAAAGAAGAAGATAATCAGATATATGAACTGTCAAACACCATCAAGCATCAAAGAGGAGATGCTTGTAAGACTGGGGCGACAACGAATATCATCATTTTCTTCCATTTCAAAAACCCATTACAGAATTGTAATAAAATAGATTGTCGATCTAGCACAAAAGGAGAGAGATGAGCTGCCTTGAAAATTTTTGTGGCAGAAGAGGAAAACGAGGGCTTGTTTAAATAGGGATTTCAAGGTTTTAGGTTTTGAAGGTTTCATGGGTTTGTCGGGCCCAAGTTTAGAATCTGTATTAGGAGAATGGGTTATAGTTCATTGGGTTAGCAGCAGGATCGCTATGGGCTTTAGCAATATGACTTGGAAAAAGCCATATTTATAATCATTTTTAAATAATAACAATGGTTATTAAATTATTTAAGAATAAATAAAATGATTTTAATTATATCTTTTTCTTCAAAAAAAAAAAAGAATCAGATGAAAGATGATGATTGTAAAATATGTTAATCACTGAAAAAATCAGTAGTTAAAGTAATAGTAGTTAAAGATGGTAGTGCATGTTCATTAAATCATCATCATGGTAATTTGATCACAGAAATTATTACGATAAAACATCATCATGTTTTTTCTTGCATACCTAACCAGTACCTAAACAATAAATCAAGAGCAAAAGACACAGTAGATCGAAGGCTGAAAGGCCAAAAAAAAGAAAAAAAAAGAGAAAGAAGAAGATAATCAGATATATGAACTGTCAAACACCATCAAGCATCAAAGAGGAGATGCTTGTAAGACTGGGGCGACAACGAATATCATCATTTTCTTCCATTTCAAAAACCCATTACAGAATTGTAATAAAATAGATTGTCGATCTAGCACAAAAGGAGAGAGATGAGCTGCCTTGAAAATTTTTGTGGCAGAAGAGGAAAACGAGGGCTTGTTTAAATAGGGATTTCAAGGTTTTAGGTTTTGAAGGTTTCATGGGTTTGTCGGGCCCAAGTTTAGAATCTGTATTAGGAGAATGGGTTATAGTTCATTGGGTTAGCAGCAGGATCGCTATGGGCTTTAGCAATACGACTTGGAAAAAGCCTTATTTATAATCATTTTTAAATAATAACAATGGTTATTAAATTATTTAAGAATAAATAAAATGATTTTAATTATATCTTTTTCTTCAAAAAAAAAAAAGAAGATCCGGCTAAATTTGAATTAGAATCTGAAATGCTTAGAATTAGAATAATAGGATGTTCAATTGTCATGCAAATCCATGAGCACCTTCAGCTGGTCTTTTCTGCACACCAGCAGCAAGGCATCGTACTGCATTGCAGCCACCTCCTGGTAGCTTCTCGACGAGCACAACAGGGCTAGAACCAGCTCCTTCAACGTTCACCTCCTTACCTGCATGGTCTCAACAACACACACCGGTATGTATGATCATATCATGAAAAATATTTTCAACAAAGTGTGTTAGTCATATGTAGCTCTGCGTTTAACAAAATCACCATGATTTTGTATTGATTTTAGAACAGATTTCGACGATGAAACTCTCTTTCGAGCACCTGAAATCTTCGCTGCATAATAAGCAGCAGGGGTGCATCTTCCGACAACCGATCAAGCTCTGAAAATAAACAACAAAAGTTATATCAGCAAGCAGGATTCAAGGTTACAATATAAAACGAAACCACAAAATGTCACCTTCCTAAAAGACAACTGTGTAATGAGTTCATATGGCTAAGGATTACCAATCTCATTTCAGAGACAGAGAGGATGCGTTTCGCCAACAAAGGAAAAAAGAAATCACTTTGGAGACAACAACCCATCAAGAGGATCTCTGGATAACAACCTTGAAGGCCTGAAGAACAAGGATTTTATAGCAAAAACAAGTCTTGCATGCACTCCAAGCACACAAAACCCAGCGATCTGAAGCTGCTTTTCTAAAACCATGTAAACCATAGAATTACAAGAGCATCAAAAAGAAAAGGAAAGAAAAAGTTGCCTGTAGTAAGACGATCGATATCAGAATTAAGTTGGTCGTGGCTGGTGAGAGTGTCTTGAGCTTTAGAATCGAAATCCTCAATCACAGTGGCTAGCAACGTTGATAATGCATTGCCTAATATATCACTGCTGTTGTTACTGGATTCAGATTCCCAAATGAAATATATAAAAGGGAATTGGATTCCCAAATGGGCTCTTTTTGAAATGGTCTATTATGGGCCAGTCTAGGGTTGGAAATGGGCTAAATAAGTTTAATTATTCCAGCAAGTAAGGATAGGAAGAAAATGCTGTAATCGTCGCAAAATCTCATATTTTTTTTTAAAAAAAAACTGTTATTAATATTAGTAGCATGCAATCAATTTCACTGTATTAATTTTTTTTTGGCTAAAATTAATCTAAAAATACTTTAAAAACTAGATATCACAATCTCAAATATATATTTAATGTATTTTGCTTTGTAGTTATTTTTGTAATTTAATGTTTTTTAAATGAAAAATAATATAAAATATATTTTAAAAAACAAAAATTATTATAATTATTATAATATTAATCAAAAACTTAATTTTTGTAATTATGGTTTAAAATTTAATGTTTTTTAGATAAAAATAATATAAAAATACTTTAAAAAATAAAAATCTTAGCTTATATCGGGTGCTCTGATCATTTTTTATAATTGTTGTTTTAAAAAATAAATTTAATAAAAGTTAAATACTATAGTTTTTTTTAATTAAGGTTTCAATACAAAATTTCAAGTGGATCTCATAAAAATCATAGAAATCATAGTATGTGTTAAAATATATTTAAATACATTTTAAAAATATATTTGACATAAAGTAATATTTTTTTTATGATTAATTTTGATAAGTTAATTTTAAAAATAACTTATTTAAATACTTTAAAATAATGTTTTTAAAAATACCCCAAAAAGTTTGGCTTAATTACATGGCTAAAGTTCAGATTGTTAATTCTTATATTATATCACAAAAATAGGAATAGACAACAATACCCCTCAGGCGTGACTTAAGGTCGGCACGGATTAGGGTTTCTGAAGCCCTCAAAACCCTGTGCCTATAAAATCTAAAGACACCCCTTTTATCTCTCTCGAAAACCCTCTCGACAATATTCGGCTATCAGAAAAAGAGACCCACAAGGAAACAGAACCCTGATCCAAGATGAGAGCTAAGGTAATTTCCTCTGCATAATCCTGTGTTTTGTTTAGATAATCTAGTGTGGTAGATGCATTGAGTATCTATCATGTTTGCTTAAATCTCTGCTCCAAGTTCCATTTATTTTGTCTCTTTTTTACTGTTGGAGAAGTTCTTTTTAATCCTGTAATCTGGGGTTTTAGGTTTTTGGCTATATGATACAAATATACGTGTTCTTTTCTATTCTAAAACTTGTGGTTTGTTGGGTTCCAACAATACTGGTTTTGCTTTCCTTTCTTTATGCCCAAGAAATTGTCAATAATGTTAAAGACACTATTTTTATGCTATTTTGAGTTTGCTTTACAATTGTTTTTTTTTTTAATTTTGGTGGTTTTAGCTCTTTTTTTTTCTTGTGTAATTTGTTTTGTTTGATTTAAAATCTACTGAAGCTGTCAAAATCTGGTATGTAGTCATACATGTAATGGGTTTTCGTGTTTGTGACAGTAGCTGTGTTTGTAGAGGAAAATTTGGCTGATGGAATTTGAATGTTTTCCAATAATGTTAAACTAGCTAGAGGAGTCTGTTTTAGAAGTTAGTTGTGCTGTTATTTTGGTGAATGTGCCAATGGAGAATAGGCAATTTCTATAATCATAGTTCCTTCAAGTTACAAACTAGTAAATAGATAGCTAGTTGGAGGAATCTGTTTTAGAAGTTGGTCGTGCTATTATTATAGTGCCTTCAACCTACAAAATAGTAAATAGGTTATAATTCATCTCACCACTCAGCAACTTAGCTAATTATCATGTAATTATGCTAGTTACTAATGTTATTGTGGAATTACAACTCAGAATGTACATTGTTACATTAAAAAAATTTAATAACAGATTAGAATAATTTTAATAAAAAAAGTTACAGGGAATACAAAAATACTATTTAAGCTGTAGAGAAACTATTTTTGAGTGACAAGCTAGTAAGTATTTATATTATTTCATTGTAAATATTTTATTATGTTAATTTGAAGACACTATAATGATAATGCCTTTAAGTAACCATAGCAAGCCTTGATATTAACTGTTTTGTTGTTTTTGTTCTTTTCAGTGGAAGAAGAAGCGTATGAGGAGGTTGAAGAGGAAGCGCAGAAAGATGAGACAGAGATCCAAGTAAGCTGTGGACTTGGACAGGATGGAGCTTTCTGCTGGTATATGTCTTTGATTGCCGGTGGCTTTGTGCTGCATGAAGCTGCGAGAATGAAGGATGTGTATTAGGGAAATACTTCATTTGTTTCATCATCTAGGGTTTTAAGACCTG